CAAATTCTACATGGATAGCATATCCATTCACACTGCAATAGAGACTGATAGATTTTAATGTAATAGAGTATACAAATTTTCACTGGGAGGATTTCAAATCCCACATTTCAAATAACCTTTAAAAGCCAGGTTTTGGTGTCAGAGCAAAGAATAACAGTTATCTGAAAAGGCTATTAAAACAGTCCTCTCTTTTCCAACTACATATTTGTGTGAGGGTGGATATTCATCATATACTTAAATCCAAACATTCTTTCACTAAGGATTGAATGCAGAAGCAGATGTGAGACTCTACCTGTCTTTCCAGCCAGACAGTAAAGAGATTTGCAAAAATGTAAAATGCTGCTATTCTCACTATTTTGTTCTGGATCATAGTTACATTTCATTTTTTAAAAGAGTATATTGACACGTAATGGACTTTTTACTATGTTAAGGTGAATTATAAATGATTTTTTCAATGTTCTTAGTTTGAATTTTAAATACCAATAGACAAAATCTACATAGGAAAAGCTCTTTGAGGTTTACCTTAATTGTTAAAGGGGTTCTGGGATCAAAAAGTTTGAGAACTGCCAAACTATAGGATAACACCTATTGTGGTGAGCCAGCCATTAAGGACTTTCCCCTAACCTACTACAAGATGCCTTTGCAACCTTACTTACTAAGGGCTGCTAAGCAACCTCGACTAGCTGTCTACTTACTGATTTCTGCACATGTTCCTGCCTTTGCCCATGCCATTTTTCTACTTGGAACACATGTTCCTACCCGTGTCACTGCCTGTTCTGGTGCTTAGTGGGTCAGGCTTATCTTCTCATCACTGGGGCCTGTGAATGGAAGGAAACCCAACTTCACAGTGCGTTTATGGACATATTCTGCAAACAGCCTTTGGGATCTGTTTGTTTTCCTTAATTAGAATTCCTGGTGTGAAGGGCCCAATTTTCTGTTTTACATTTTTGCCATCTAAGGGCCAAGGGTACTGCCATAAACTTTATGGGATTTTGGTAAATATTAGCTGACAATTTCTAGTGATATCTGTAAGCTTTTATGATCTCATGCAGATTAATCAGAATATTTAGTGCCTGCTGTGGGCAGAACACTTGGCAGTTGGGGAGGGGGCTAAGGAGGTGATTCTTTTTCATTAAAATAAACAATTTAATGAGATGGGTGATGATGTTTGCTTGAATCTAGATCAGTGCTTTCAATGCTACTTTGGGCTAACTGCCCTGAGCTGGCTTTTCAGTGCTCCACAGACTATGGAGGTGATTCTTAGGAGGTGCTTAAGGAGCTGCACTGTGGATGGAGAGACAGGATTTATAGTCAAGAAGCAACCAAACAAGACACAAGAAAGTGCATCACCAAAGGGATGATCAGGTGCTACAGGTCTTTAGGGGAGAGGGGGTGGGTGTGGGGGCCCAAATGTATTTAGGAGGCTAGAGCAACCATAGATGTCTTCTGGGAGAAGGGAGGGACTTGAGAGAGGGTTATGAAATAGGGAGGGTTTAGTTAGAGGTCATCAAGGCAGGAACTTCAGGTCAGTGAATAAACTCGAGCCAAGGCAGAGGCAGAAATGAGCACAGCATGTTCACTGCCTAATGAGGAGACTGCTGACCACAGTGAAGGTGAATGGTGCGAAAGGATAAGGATGAAAGCTAGTCAGAGGCGTTTAGGCTGGATGTGGAAGGGAAGAAGTGACTTGGTTCTTTGGTTAGGGAAGTGACACAGTGTTTTCTGAACATAGGATGGATAATTTATGAGAGGAATAACAGAGCTGGGGCATCTAGCTCATGATCCAGAGGTGCCAGGTGGTGAGGCTCTGGACTGGGGATCAGCAGGGTCTTTTGAAATGCATCACAGGCAGGCAACCACATCTGGAATGCCAGCTCTGTGCCTTTAAATGGGAGTGTTTTCTATTACAAGGGCATGGACAGTAAGACCCCACACAATAAAGTATTAGTGACACAATTGGGTCTTGGCACACATGACTAATTTAGAGCTGAATCCTTTTATTTTAACCCTTCCTCATGTTTTATTGTGTCAGCCACTAACTGTGTGTGGTTTGGGGAAACTTACTCAACTCCTAGGCATCTTGGTTCAGTCATCTGTAAAAGAGGGGAATTAGTGAGACCTCTCTCACAGGCTTGTCATGAGAACTGAATTAATATCTGTAAAATGCCTAGAGTAGAACTCGTCACATAGGAAGCCTTAAAAAATATTAGCTGCTGGGTATCCATCCATTAAGTAATTCATATTATCATGGCAATATAAATACTTAAATAACTCAGGCCAAAGCATCCAGAACTATGCAGAATCAAGGCCCTCAAAACAAAACAAAGATATAAAACACTTGCTAGAGATATTGCAAAGGTGGAACTCATTGCAAAGATGAAACATCCAAAACATCAATTCCATAAACTCACTAAGAGTGTGGAACCCAGACACTCAAGTCATGACTGAATCATGTCACTTCTCAGCAAAAGGGCCTCATTGGCTTCCACTGTAGAGGAGACACAGAGCTGGTCTTTACAAGCCAGCCAGCCAGCCTGCCTTCTTCCACAGGATGTGTGGTGGTTTCGCCAGCCTCCTTCTACCTCTAGCCCACCCCAACTTCCCCTCAAACATATCCCACCCTGCATGCCCGTCTCTCTTGTGCCTTCATTCTTACCCCAAAGCTAATTCCTCTTATCCCATTCATGCCCTATAAATTTAGGCCTGTTTTTAATAAACTGTTTAGAACAGTTCTAGGTTTACAGGAAAATTGTAGAGTAAGTCAAGTTCTCATATACTGATTCCTTCTTTCAAGAGTTTTTTTCCTATTATTACATCTCTGTAAGTGTGATGCATTTGTTACCACCGATGAACCAACAATGACACATTATTCATAAAGCCTGTACTTTACATTTGGGTTAATTTTTGTGTTGTGCAGTTCTATAGATTTTGACAAATGCAAATGTCCTACAGCAGTGATGGCAAACCTTCTAGAGCTTCGCCACTTCTGTCCTACAGCCGTGACTGCAGTGTCATACGAAATAGCTGTACTGCTCTAAGATTGCCCTGTGTTCTGTCTGTTCTCTCCTTCTCTTCAGCTTTAAGAATCAGGTAAATTCCCTCAATTATAATTAACCACCTTGGGGCTGGGGATTTAGTGGCAGTGTGCCTGCCTCCTAAGTGCAAGGTCCTGACTTTGATCGCTGGTACCAAAAAGAAAAATTAACCATTTTGATGCTAGCACAGTACTTTCCTCTTACTGTTATAGCTGCTGTGTTCTGTATGATAGAGACACATATACATATTTCTCTTCTGTCACTAGATTGTCTGTCCTTGAGGGAGGGGATGTGCCATAAATCTGTCCTCACAACACCCAGCTCTGACAATGGTTTTTAACCGTGCCTTGTAAATGCTGGCTGAACTCAGCTGAGTCAACACTAGAATGCGATTTAGTAGAAAGGATCTCAGGAGACAAGGCATTAGACCTAGAATTCTGAAAGTAACCTGTATACCTGTGAATTTCATAAGCACATCATGGAAGTGTAAGTTCTTCGAAGTGTAAGTTCTTCCATCCTTCCAGATTTTGGCTAAGAAGCAGCCACAGGTGCCATGGTCCAGGCCAGCTTTGTATTACTGGGCCATGGGGCTATTTTCCAACTCCTCCTCTCTCCAAACACCGGGGGAAAAGAGAGAGCTTGGCTGTTTCTGACAGTCCAGACCTCTCGCAGGAAGGGCCCTGGACAGTCTTCTGGTCCCCACTCTTCCTGGACACCCTCCAACAGCCAACTTAATTCACACAGCACTTTTTGCTTCAAAGACACTGTTCCTAAACCTTCTAAAACGGTGCAGGACAAGCAGTCGGAACACAGGCAACTAAACTGAATCCCGTGAAGTAACAAAGGAGACAGCCTTCTCCAACAGCCAGCACAGGGCTAAGTGAAAAATACCAGTCATCCACCACACAGCGCTCTCCTCTCCAGAAAGGAGCTGCCGCTTGCAACCTCCCCACCCCAAATAGGAGTCCGTGAAGGCACAAAACAAACTACATATTCAGCTCCCAGGCGGGAGTCAACAGTTTCAGCAGCCCCATCTACTCCTCTGAGCAGCTCTAGCGGTTTCAAGACCTTGGCGTTTACTTCTCTGTACCTGCCTCCAAACACATGGGGGCGGGGTAGTGAGGAGAGGAGGAGCGAGCCCGAGGCGAGGCGTGCGGACCCCGCGGAGGGCAGGGGCCTGGGGGGCAGGGAGAAGCTCTGGAGGCCGGGTTAGAGCCCAGGGAAGTTACCTGGGGCCCTCAGTGTTCTCTCCAGAGCAGGGGTCATCCCCTCCGCCCCGGAGCCCGAAAGCCAGAGGAAAGCGTGGGGGAGAAGCCTGCCTGGCTGCGGGGAGCTAAGGGACCCAGGCGCCTCGCCGCGAAGGGTGCGATTCATTCCGGGCCGCGGCGACGACCGCCCGCGAGCACCTGTGCTCCCAGGGGGCGGGGCCTCCCCCAGGTGTGCGGGGAGCCGGGCGGCCGCGCACCCCAGGCCTCCCCGCCCCGCCGGTAGGGGGCGGAGCGGTTAATCCGCACGCGGGCGCCGCCTGCCTCTCCGCGAGCAGGTGGGAGAGCGCTCGCCGCGGCGCCGAAGGGGTTAACCGG